TTATATCTAGTATCCCCCATTATCATTATCCCTCACCAGACCAGTACACTTGTTGCAACTGATGAACCTTGACACATTCTAATCACCCAAAGTCCATAGTTTAATTAGGGTTCATTCTTATTGTTGTACATTCTATGGGTTTAGAAATATGTATAATAACAGGTATCTATTAGTATGGTATCATTCAGCGTATTTTCACTATCCTAAAAATCCTCTGTGCTCTGCCCATTCACCTCTCTCCCCTTAACCCTGATCTTTTTACTGTCTTCATAGTTTTGCCTTTTCCAAAATGTCACATACTTAGAATCACACATGATGTAGCCTTTTCAGATTGGCTTCTTTCACTTAATAAAATGCATTTATGTTACCTCCATGTCTCTTCTTGGTTTGATAACTAATTTCTTTTTGTAGAGAATAAATATTTCATTGTCGGGATGTACCACAGTTTATTCACCTTCTGAAGGACATCTTTTTTTTGCAAGTATGAAGAAAGCTTCTCTAAATATACAGGTACAGGTTTTTAAATGGGTATAAGTTTTCAACTTCTTTGGGTAAATATCAAGTAGTGGATTTCATGGTAAGAATATGTTTAATTTTGTAAGAAATCACCAAACTGTCTTTCAAAGTGGCCTTACCATTTCATATCCCCACCAACAATGTATAAGAATTCCTGTTGCTCCACATCCATGATTGGAGTGTTCTAAATTTGGTCAGTCTAATAGGTGTGCAGTGGTGTCTCAATGTTGTTTTAATTTGCATTTCCTTGATGACATACAAGGTGGAACATTTTTTATATGCTTACTTGCCATCTTTTTATCTTCTTTGGTGAGGTATCTCTTAAGGTGTTTGGCTCATATTTTAATTGAGTTGTTTTCTTAATGTTGAGTTTTAAAAGTTCTTTGTTTATTTTTAATAAAACCAACCTAAACTGGTTGGTTTTATCAGATGTGTCCTTTGCAAATATTTTCTCTCATTTTCTATCACAAAGCAGAAGTTTTACTTCATTTTAATGAAGTCCAGCTTATCAATTATTTTATTCATGGATTGTGCTTTTGATGTTGTAATTAAAAAGTCAACAACATACCCAAAGTCATCTAGGTTTTTTCCTATGTTATCTTGTAGGAGTTTCATCGTTTTGCATTTTACATTTAGGTCTGTGATTCTTTTTAGTTAATTTTTGTGAAGGGTATAAAGACTAAGTTTGCATTTTTTTTTTTGCATATGGATGGACAATTGTTCCAGTGCCATTTGTTGAAAATACCATATTTTCTCTGTTGTATTGTCTTTGCTCCTTTGTCAATAATCAGTTAACTATACTTTATGGGTCTATTTCTGGTCTCTCTATTCCATTTATCTATTTGTTTATTATTTCAGCAATCTCTTGATTACCCAAATTGAACTTTTAGAGATGGATTATAATGCCTGAAGCATGAAATACAGTGGATTGAATTAACAGCCAATTAGATACTGCAGAAATAAAGATTAGTGAACTTGACAGCATTGTGATGAAAACCATACAGAATGAAACACAAAGAGGAAAAAGGAACCCATAAAGATAAAAGGAGCAAGAGTAAGCTGTGGGATAATTTTAAGGGACCAAATATGTAGTTAATTAGAGTCCTTGAGGGAGAAAGTAGGATAGAGACAGAAAAAATATTTCAAGAAATAATGACCAGAAATTTTCAAAACTTAATGAATTCCATAAATCCAAGAAGTTTAAGAAACCCCTAGCAAGAAACATAGAAAACACACCGAAGCATATCACAACTAAATTGCTCAAAATCCATAATAGAGATCTTAAAATCAGCCAAAAAAGATGCATTATGTAGAAAGAAAAAAATTAGAATGATATTAGATTTCTCATTGGAGACAATAAAAGTGAGAAGATAGCACAGCATTATCTTTAAATTCCCTAAAGAAAAAAACTATTTACTTGAACCTCTATAACCAGCAAAAATATCATTAAAAAAATAAGGTAAAATATATTTTAAAAATAAAAACCTGAATAATTTATCACTCACAGATAATTCTACAAAAAAATGTTAGAAAGTCCTTCAGTTTGAAGGAAAATGATACCAGGTAAAATCTGAATTTATAGAAAGAATAAAGAACTGCAGAAAGAGTAACTACATGGGTGAAATGTAAGATATTTTTAAATTATTTAAGTCTCTTTAAAACTATTATCATTTTAAAAGATAATTGACTATTTAAACAGAAATAGTAACAATGTAGTATAGGGCTTAGAATGTATGAAATAGGAAAATGCATGACAACAGTAACATAAAGGCAAAGGAGAAATAGAAATATACTATTGGAAGGCTCTTATACAATATGTGAAATTAATATAATATCACTTTAGGGATGACCGTGATAAATTAAAGAGATATGCTATAAACCCCAAAGCAACCATTAAAATAACAAGACAAAGAGTTATAGCTAATAAGCCAATAAAAGAAAAATCTGGAATCACACACACAAAAAAATTTAATTAATTCAAAAGAAGGCAGAAAAATAGAAAAAGGGGGGAAAGACGGTAAAAACAAAAAACAAATACCAAGATGATGGATTCACACTAACTATATCAATAATTACACTAAACATAAATGTTCTAGCCCGGCTGGTGTGGCTTAGTGGTTGAGCACTGACCTATGAAACAGATTGAATCATGGTCCGATTCCCAGTCAGGGCACATGCCCAGGTTGCAGGCTTGATCCCCAGTGTGGAGTGTGCAGGAGGCAGCCAACCAATGATTCTCTCTCAGCATTGATGTTTCTCTCTCTTCCTCTCCTTCCTCTCTGAAATCAATAATAAAAATATATTTTTAAAAAAGTTTAAATGTTCTGAACACCCAAGTAAAGACAGAAAATGTCAGGTTAGATTTTTTAAATATTTTTGTTGTTGTTGACGGGGACCCTTTAGTCCTCAGGCTGACACTTTATCCACTGAGCCAAACCAGCTAGTGCTAGATTAGTTTTTTTTAAATAATAAATATTCAACTACATGTTGTCTATGAAAAGTATATATTTTTTATATATTTTATTGATTTTTTTACAGAGAGGAAGGGAGAAGGAGAGGGATAGAGAGTTAGAAACATCGATGAGAGAGAAACATCGATCAGCCGCCTCCTGCACATCTCCTACTGGGGATGTGCCCGCAACCCAGGTACATGCCCTTGACCGGAATCGAACCTGGGACCTTTCAGTCCGCAGGCTGACGCTCTATCCACTGAGCCAAACCGGTTTTGGCTGAAAAGTATATTTTATTTGTAAATATGTAAGTAACTTGAAAGTGAAAGGATGGAAAAAGTTACACCACTCTAACACTAATCAAAGGATAGCAGAAGTGGCTATGTCAATATCAGAAAAGGTAAATTTCAGAGCAAAGAATATTGCTAGTGGTTGAAAGGTCATTTCATAATGGTAGGGATCGATGCATCAAAAGGATATGACAATCTTAAACTAATAAAATAAATTTATGCTAATATAAGACATTGAAGACCATGAAGCTAAAAGGTGTAGAACTCAAAAGATAAATAGGCAATCCACAATTTTGTCAGATATTTAAAAACCATTCTTGATAGTTGATGGGACAAGTAGAAAGAAAATCAGCAAGGACAGGTACGCTTGACCAACATTATTAATCAGTTTGCTTAGTTGATGAAATGGATAAATGAAATTAGATGAAATGGACAAATTCTTTGGCGATACGAACTACCAAAGCTTATCCTCAAGAGTAGCCCCATATAATAAAGAAGGTAAATTTGGGATTAAAATCTTTTTCACAGAGAGAACTCTGGGCCATGAGTACTTCATCAGTGAATTCAACCGAGCCCTTAAAGAAAAAGTACCCATTCTACACAAATTAAGGTATTTCCATACAATGGAATACTACTCAGAAATGAAAAGGAATGAACTATTGACAAAAGCAACAACATGGGTGAGTTTCTAAATAATTATGTGAGATGAACAAAAGCCATGCAAAAAAGAGTGCATACTACATGACTCTATTAATATAAAACTGTAGAAAAAGCAAACTAATCTATAGGAACAGAAAGCAAATCAATGATTGTCTGGCAGTGAGAGGTAGGAGACGGAGAAGGAGAGGTGACCAAGGGCACAAGAACATTTTTGATGGTGATGAACATGCTCATTATCTTGGTTGTGATGTTTTCATGAGTTTAGAATGTCAACACATATCAAATTATACACTTTAAACATAAGCAATGTATACTAATTATGTCTCCATAAAGTTGTTTAAAAGAGAATATTAGAAAAAGACACCATAAAGAATACTTTAGTGGAACTGACTGGAGGTAGATTTTTAATTAATGCTGACCTTGTAGTCTAGCTAGAATGCTTTAACCCTGGCTCACTTCAACATTTGTGCTTTACAGAAACAAACTACTTTTGTTTTTATTCCAATCCCCCCACCTGAAACAAACTACTTTTAACTTGAGTGGATTAATTAGTAACCTTGTTTAAAATAGGAAATAACTCTAAATGGTTAACATATATTGATCATTCTTATCTAAGTAAGAACTACTTTAATATAACCATTTTTCCTGATTCTTGAGAAAGAGTAAATGCCCACTGAAGAAAATGCTACTATTCATGAGTTCTCATTATCAAAACAGCATTAACAATAGATCATATTTATTGAGCATTTATAACAGGTCAAACACTGCTAAGCTTTTTATGCAGTGTATTATATTTGATTCCCACAGCCCTCTGAGTTAGGTACAATTATTCAACCCATCTGGAGAGAGAGAAAGCAAACCTTAGAAGAATGAAGTAACATGGTCAATATCAAATAGATAAGTTATAGAGTCAGTACTTCAACCTATATCTTTATTCATTCCTTTCACTACTCTGCCCTAAACCCTTCCATGATTCCCATCCCATCCAAAGTAAGAACCAAAGACCTCACAAGCATGTACAAGGGCCAATACCTCACCTCCCATTTCCTCTTGACCACACTCCCTCTAGCTACCTCTGCTCCAACTCTCAGATCTGTGTTATTTTTCAGACATGCTGTGCGAATTCCACAAGGCCTTGACAGCGCTCTTCCCTCTAGGGTTACTGGGTATGTTTGTGCAGTTTGGGCTCTGCAGGGCTCTGAGGGTTGCTATTCTGAGCCCTGATTCCCTCTTCCCGCAAGCTGTTCTCTCAGATACGCACATGTTTTGCTCCTTCACCTCCTGCAGGTCTTAGCTCAAGTTTTAACGTTTCAGTGAAGCTCAGATCCCAAACATAGTCCCTCTTTCTTGCTTAAATTTTGTCCATAGTAATTAATGTCATTCTGAGTATAGAAAAAAACACAAATTTTAAATATCAACATATTTTGTTATTTGTATATTGTGCAAAGCTAGTTTTAAGTACAAAATAAAAGAGTACCTAACCTTTATGCAAAATCACCTAAATAAAGCAATTCATAGTTTCTAGTTTATACATGTGTATTTTATTCTTATCATAATAGTGGAAACACTGCACAAAACCAACTCAACTGTTTTTATTTCACTTGTTTCACGCATGCACATCCTACCAATGCTCTCTACTTTTAGTTTGCTGTTAAGTGAGGAAGGACAAGTAAGAAAATGCTGGGGTCCAACCCCAGCAGGTCCAGGGGTCCCCAAAGGTGTGGACGGAGTCGGCGAAGAAGGAATGACACGGAGACAGCGTTCAGTTGATCAGCAGCCTAGCCAGGATCTCTAGCCAAGTTCTGGTCAGGATCTCCAGCGAAGTTCTGGTTAGGATCTCCAGCCAGGTTCTGTGTCCATGTTCTCTTGCTAGGTTCTCCAGCCAGGTTCTCCAGGTTCTCCAGCCAGGTTCTGTAGCCATGTTCCCTCGCTAGGTTCTCCAGCCAGGTTCTGTCCAGGTTCTCCTGCCAGGTTCAGTCACCAGGTTCTAGTCAGGTTCTCTTGCCATGTTCTATCCAGGTTCTGTAGCCAGGTTCTGTCTCTAGGTTCTTCAGCCAGGTTCTCTCGCTAGGTTCTGTCTCTAGGTTCTGTGGCCAGTTTCTGTCCAGGATCTTTTGCCATGTTCTCTCCAGCGAAGTTCTTCTGTCTCTAGGTTCTGTGTCTAGGTTCTGAGTGTAGGTTCTGTCTTCTAAGTTCTGTCTTCTAAGTTCTGTCTGCTGTTGTCTTGTTACAACTGTATTTATACCAGTTGATTCCAATCCTATCAATCTCTATTCCAAAGGTTAGGGCGTTTCTTATCTCCATTCCAGGGAGTAAAGATTATGTAGCTTAAGCATGATTGTTCGTAGTTAAAGTGATTAATTACCCGCCTGGCACTTAGTTAAGAGGTTTTATTCCCTCCCTAACTTCAGGGGAAAATCCCTACCTGGGGAAACAACCTTTCTCAGAGACCTTGGTTAAAACACATAGTGCCAAGAAGGTGAGCAAACATATTAAGAACAGTATGCCATATATGCCAGGTCCCTTGAAACAGCAAGCATGGACCGGCTCCCGGCAAGAAAAGGAATGAAAGGCTGCCTTATCTTTCTTGTTTCTTCTGTACCATCATTTTCAGTGTAAGTGGTTGGCTGGTACCAGAAGGTAGCAATTAAGAGAGGGTAGGATAGAGTTCCTTGGTAGTTCATGTTTCTTAGAACACCACTGCCTTCTTTTTGCCTTTGAAGCAAGTTCTGCTTCAAACAGAAAGCTTTGTTCAAATGTAAAGTGTTCTTGTCAATGCTCTTGCTTAGTCAGTCTTAGACTCAGCATACTTATTCCTGTACTTGCTCTGAGTCTCGCTGAACTCCCACGTACTGTGAGTCCTCCAGAATTTTGTGCTCGTAGGACATTGCAAATTCTGTACACATACCATGTCTCTCCTCTGGTTTTGTGCATAACCCATCATTGTCCAATCAAATTTTCACTTATAAAATTCAAGTTCAAAGATAAATTTTTAAGAATTTCAAGGTCACTATACCAGAGCTTCAACCCTGGCTCAAGTTCATATCTTTCTCTTCCTGAGAAACTGCAAAAGCCTCCCTAACTGGTCTCTGCTTCCACTCTTACAGGCCCCCAACCTTCATTCTAGCCTTCACATAGCTCCTGGATTGGTTGAAAAAAAGTAAAATAAACAGATCATGCCATTCGTTTGCTCAGAATCCTCTAATATCTTTTCCTTACCCAGGCATCACACAGGCCTCCTGCCAGTCCCTTGAAACACTTTATTCCCACCCTGCCTCGTTTGGTTCGGTATGGTCCCATGAACTGAAAGGCTGCCAGTTCAATTACCAGTCAGGGCACATACATGCCATGTTGCAGGCTCAATCCACAGTGATGTTTCCTCTCATATTGATGTTTCTCTCTCTCTTCCTCTCTGTCCTTTCCCTCTAAAAATCAATACAAAATCTTTAAAAAAAAATAGAAAAGAAAAACTTCATTCCCATATTGGAGTCTTGGAAATTACTGTTCTCTCTGCCTTAGTTTCTTATGACTGCTACTTTCTCACCGTTTAGGAATCAGCTCAAAAATGTACCTTCAGTATTAAATAAATTTTATACTATCTATATGGAGATTTCAAATGAAAATGTAATATATAATTGACATGGTGAATATTTGTAACATTAAGTGTAAGAAACAGTTTATCAAACATTATGTATAATTATACCCCGCTTTGTTTTAGTACAAATGTCAAAAAGTATACACATACACACATATAACCTAAAAGAATATACAACAAAATATTAACAGTAATTATTTTTAGAGATAATGCTTCAGATGGCTTTTTTCTTTCTCCCTTTTAATATTTTATTGTCTTTCTATACTGAATATGCATATTTTATATAATTTTTGAAAGCATCAGTGAATGAAAATTTAATATGATGAGAAGTAACCCCCTTTCTTGAACCATTTTAGCTAAACTAATTACCCCCATCACTTTTCATATATGGATTGCACTAATAAAAATAGTTATTAATATTAATGAGCATTTACTGGTGTCAGGCATGTGTTAGGTACTTTAAACTCATTATTTAATCCCCACAACTAATCTATGGGTTAGGTGCTACCACCACCACCATCATGATGTTATTATTGTTCTTTTTCTTTTACAAAATAATAAAATGAGGTAGTCAAGATATTTAAGGCTTAGATTATTCAGACATTTGGCCCAAAGTTGCATGAGCAATATTTGGAGAACTGAAATGAAACTGCTACCTGTCTATCTGAAAAGTCTATACTACATCATCTCTACCCACTCCAAGAGAGCTCTTGATTTTGATAACCACCTATTTTCTCAATAAATCGACACCAAATGGAGCAGTTATGAAACCAGCCCATGAAATTTAGTCCCTACATTACGTTGTAGTCAAAAGCAAAATGAAAAAAAGGCAATTTAAAAAATTATTATGACCTTTATTAGAATTTCTTTTTTAAATTTTATTTTTTCAATTACAGTTTACATTCATTATTATTTTGCATTAGTTTCGGGTGTACAGCATAGTGGTTAGATAATCATATACTTTACACTGTCTTAAATACAACAAATAAAATTTATAGTCTGAAGCTGTACTTCTTTAACAATTTTTGATCCTTGCATCCACTATTCTAACCCTCCAGGCACACACTTTCCTCCTCCAAGGCCAAATTCTCTACTTCCTCCCCTATTCTCTCTTCCTCCTGATTTCCAATGAAAAAGCCCAAAAGAAATTACCTGGCCACTGGGATCATTGAGAAGAGGCAGTCTACCAAAAGAAGTCACAATCCTTTTGAATAGACAGAAGGAGGTGAAAGACTGGGAACACTCATTCTATGGATTTTTTCCATTATGAAAGATCACAATCACTATCATGAGAATTTATGGGGGGTTTTTATATTACCAAAAAGTATAATTTTACTCAGAAATGCTAGGCACCATAGAATATCCTCTGAGTACTGTGTTTGAATTGTAAAAGGGAGATAAATGAAAGCTAGGGGTGGAACTGATTTCATAGAGGAAGCATAACATTAGAGCTTGGCAGTTAAATGGCATTTAGGATGAGCACAGGTGAAATTATGGCTTCTGGAAGAAGAGCCAAGTACCAACGGGAGAATGAGTAGACTTAGGAGATGGGAGTGAATAGGTGCTAGGTTATCTGCTTAGTGATGTTTCCACAAAAAGAAAGAACAGGAGATGGAGTTCATTGTTTTCTCTTGCCACAGAGATGAGGGACCCCTAAGTATTACCTTGGAAAAAAAGGATGATCATGTCTTTGATATTTAGATCTCTTCTAAATGTGTTTAGAAAACTACAACTGGCTCAAAGTCCATTGATTTTCACCTAGAACAATAATAAGTGTATACTTATCTAGACTTCTAGTTGTAGCTTAACAGCCAAAGAACAGTGGATAGAGAAAATATTCAAAAAATAGCTGAAAACTTATCTTGGGGACTAATGAGCTTCCTTAAAATGAAAAAGCTTCATTTTATTTTACAGTAATTTCTTAACATGGCTTTTCCCCCTTTCTTCCCTTTTCTCACAGTCATTTCTAACTCTACACTAACGAAGAGAATAAACCACTCTCTGGGATTGTTCAAGAGACCTATAATCAACAGAAATACTCCTGTCTACCTGACTTCTGCTTTTGAAAAGCCCCCTTACAAAACATTTTTTAAATCCCACTTAATGCTCACAGGTTATCTCTAAGTATATAAAATTCCCCTTCGCTGATATTCTTATATTCTTTTTCCACCCAATCTGAAACTGTTTTCACAAACTATAAACCTGTTTTTTCAAAGCACAATGACTTCAATGTCATTCCTTTCTTTTCTTTTCTTTCACTTTCCATTTTCTTTGTCAGTAATTCTCCAAACTCATTTTATACTGGAGGCTTCAGTATTTTCATTATTATTTAGAGCCTTTATCTTTTTATTTTTAGGATTCTGTCACCTTTCTTGGCTGACATAGCTTTATCACTTGTTTTCCCACAATTTTCTTTATTCCCTTATTCAGAAAAAGTTACCCAACTTTTCATTTTTGTCATTAATAAGTGGTTTCTTCTCCTTTCACCATGCATGAAGACCTCTGCTTGTAGTTACAGGCCAGAAAGTAGGCCTAAAAGAAATAGCAGAGAAGGGTCATCTTAAAGTTTTGGAGGAGAGGACTATAACAGGCTCTCTTAACTACCAAAATGCTATAAGGAAAAGACAGTCTTTCCAGGGTAAGCTGACCTCAACACCATGAGCAGCACTTATCAAACCTCCCCAGAGGCCTGAATCAGGACAAACTACTACTTTAATTCAGAAGGAGACAACTTTATGAAGCTTGACAGTAGTTGACCCAAGATCCAAATGAATGTAAATAAGTTCCATAGGACAAATAAAATCAATGAAGGAAAGCTACACGTTGTTATGTGTTTTATTGCTGGTATTTTAATGTTCTGTTTTGTGTGGGCATACAAGATTTCCCTTTTTCTTTCCTCTTGTTCTACTTCTAATGCTCAGTTTAACAGGCTTTATTTGTGACACTAAAGGAAACACAGAATGTTTTTATTCACACTGATCCCTCAGAATTAAGTAGAACTATCTCCTGAAAAATCTTAATACAGGTTATAAACTAATGAGCCATCAAGGGACCCTAAGGATGATGATGAATCTGGTTACTAGAATCCAAAAAAAAAAATGCTTTTATGTTTGGTTAAGCTGATAAAAGTCACCACAGACCTCTGACAAAAGAGATAAGACCTCAAGTTTATATTTTATAATTTCTAATTATAATTCCTATATAAATAAACAATCTTTACAGATATTATCTCTGGCATAACCTTTGATTATTCTGTGGGAAATATATAAGATATTGATCACCTTGTTTACAAAATACTTAGGACAGTGAATAACCATTATTATAACTACCTGAACTAAGACTCTTCACCTTTAATGACATTCTGCTATTTACACAGGATTTGTAAGAATTAGTCCTTATGCCAGAATGCAATTGTACAGATCTATTGTGTAACCACAGCCATGCTGATCATGTCATGTTAGAGAACAAATTCAATTTAATCATGTATGATGGGCCTAGCATTAAGAAGCAAGAGTTGTACTTTATACAGTAGTCCCACTTCATCTGTGGGAGACATGTCCCAAAACTCCTGGTGGAGGCCTGGAACTGTGGGTAATACTGAACCCTATACACACTGTGTGTTTTTCTGTATGTACATACCTGAGATAAAGCTTAATGTATAAATTAGGCATGGTAAGAGATTAACAACAATCTCTTTATATAATAAAACCCTAATAAAACCGAACAGCAGGACGACCTACAGAACGACCAGTAGCCCTGACTCACACCCATTTCATGCACCGGACCTCTAGTAACTAATAATAACATAGAACCATTATAATACTGTAAAGTAAATAAAATATAATAAGAGTTACGCAAATGCAGTCTCTGTCTCAAAATACCTTATGGTACTGTACTCACTTTTTCACTTAAAGGAAGCACTTTAGGGCTTCTTTGGGGCATATTTAAATTGCTAGAATCACTACTTTTGCACTTTGGGGCCAGTATTAAGTAAAATAAGGGTTACTTGAACACAAGCACTGAGATACTGCAACAGTCAATTTGATAAACGAGATGGCTGTTAAGTGACGAATGGGCAGGTACTGTATACAGCATGGATACCTGGACAAAGGGATGATTTGCATCCCAGGTGGGACAGAGAAGTAACAATGATACAAGATTTCATCATGCTTAGAACAGCATGCAATTTAAAGCTTATGTATTGTTTATTTCTGGAATTTTTCATTTAAGATTTTTGAACTGCCATTGACTATGGGTAACTAAAACCACAGAAAGTGAAACCATGGATAAGGGGGACTACCTACCGTACATGGAATCAATATCTACAAAGCCCTCTCGGGAGGTCTATGTCTTTCAGCTGGTAATAAAGAAAATCACTTCCTGGCAGGCCAGGGATCTCACTGAACTGAGGAGCCCTGCAAAAGAAGGAATTTGTTTATGATTAGAGGTATTGCAGATAAAAGCTGGTAGACATTAATTTCTAAGTGCAGTTTCTTAGCCTCAGAACAGATAAGCTGATAAGAGTAGTAGAACAAAATCTTAGAGTGATAAAGACTATTGAAAATTCAACCCTAGATTCTTTGTATAACCTCCAGACAAACTTATTAGGTGAGCTTCTCTCTAGTTTTGTTGACAATACCACAAAAAGGCTTATGATCCATTACTCGCTATACTTATGTAAATAAATCAGGTCAAATAGAACAGAATCTACGCAATATAAAGAAGAAACAGTATCTGAAATTACTTGTAATAGCTACCATCGAATTGGTATAATAATATAAATTATTGTACCATTAGTATATGAGTCATGGCTCTATGTGTATGCTATATATTAAGCTTATGTCTAATTTCAATTACCTTTAAAAACTATAGAAGGGACACAATTAAGCAACAAGGTCAATTAATGATCCCATCACAAAGGCATGCGATCAGCTTTATGTGTGTGTGAGGACATGTAGATACATGCATTATCTGGAATAATATTCAGTTTGTGATGGCAGAGGCAATGTTCAGGAAAATGTATCCAAAACTTGAAAATAAGACAAAGAGATAATTGCATAATTTTTAATGTCATTCTAGGGCCCATTTGATACTCACCTGAGTCTCCCAAAAAATGTAACTTTGACTGACAATTGATTAGGGTCAAAATTTTTTAAATCTGATTTAGTAATCTTATTTCACCATACTCATTTCCACTGATCATATAAATCCCAGTTTCTCATAACTTCGTTGAACTAGCTTTGTCATTCTGATGGTCCCTCTATTAATCACTTAAACGAAACTGATACATGCCAAATATCTTTTTTTGTGATAAGAGCACTCAACATGAAATCTGTCCTCTCAATAAAACTTTAAGTGTATAATACAGTATTCTTAACTATAGATTCAATGTTTTACTACCGATCTCTAGAATTTACTCATCTTGAATAACTGAAATAACTTTATACCACTCCACATCCTCCCGTCACTATCACTGTACTCTGCTTCTGAATGTTTGACTGCTTTAGATATCTCATGTAAATGTACTCATGCAGTACCAGTACTTGTGTAACTAGCTTGCTTCATTTAACGTAACTTTCCCTAGGTTCATCCATGTTGTCACATATGGCAGGATTTCCTTCTTTTTTAAGGCTTAACAATATTTCGTTGTATTGATATACCACATTTTCTTTATCCACTCATCCATTTATATTTATGTTTTTGTTTTGTTTTCTTAAGTTTAGTTATCCTTTGTTGTAATTTTAAAAATCTTTATTGTTTAAAGTATTACAGATGTCCCCTTTTTGCCCCTCATTGACCCTCTCCACTCCACTCCACCCCCGCCCCCCCCCCCCAAAGCCTTGTTTCCACATATTTGCTAATGTGACTAATGCTGCATGAACATGGGAGTGAAATCTCTTCAAGATCCTAATTTCAGTTCTTTTGGATAAACATTCACAAATGGAATTGCTGGGCCATATGGTAGTTCTGTTTTTAATTTCTAATCTTAACTCTAAGTATCTTCTTGGTATATAATGGTTCATAGTAGTTTCTTATGATTCTTTTTATTTCTGTGTCATCAGTTGTACTGTCTCCTCATTACTTCTGATTTTATTTATTTGAATCTTCTCTCTTTTTTCTTAATTCAAGCTAAAGGTTTGTCAATTTTGTTAATCATTTCTTAAAACCCTTAGTTTTATTGATTTTTTTCTATTTTTTTGGTTTTGTTTTTGATTTATATTTGCTCTAATCTTTGTTGTTTTCTTTCTTCTTCTAATTTGGGGCTTGGGTTTTTTTTCTTTCCTTTATACCTCAGGTATAAAGTTGTGCTGCTTATATAAAATCATTCTGTGTTTTTAATATACATTTTTGTCACTATAAATTTTCATCATAATACTACTGTAGCTATAATCCTATAAGTTTTAGTATGTTGTATTTCTATTTTTGTTTGTCTTGAGACATTTTCTATTTTCCCTTTGATTTCTTCTTTGACATATTGATTGCTCTAGAGCAGAGGTTCTCAACCTGTGGGTCGCGACTCCTTTGGCAGTCGAATGACCCTTTCACAGGGGTCACCTAAGACCATCCTGCATATCAGATATTTACATTATGATTCATAACAGTAGCAACATTACAGTTATGAAGTAGCAAGGAAAATAATTTTATGGTTGGGTCACACCTAGAGGAATTGTATTTAAAGGGCCAGAAGGTTGAGAACTACTGCTCTAGAGTGTTTTGTTTAATTTCCACATATTTATGATTTCTAATTTTCTGTTTTTGATTTCCAGTCATGTCACTTTAGTCAGAAAAGACATCTGGCATGATTGCAATCTTCTTAAAATTTTTAAGACTTGTCTTGTGGCCTAAAATGTAATCTATCCTCGAGAATGTTTTGTGTGCACTTGGAAGAATATATTCTGTTGTTGTTGGGTACAGAAAATGTTCTGTACATGTTTATTAGGTTCATTTCATCTATAGAATATTTTTTGGTTTCTGAAAATGAATAGCTTGGGATATACAAAAATCGGATATTTTATCTTCACAGTGTACCCTCTGAAGGTGGGAAAATAAGTACTGCCTTCTTTTCAGCACCTGATGAAACTGCCACAGAGAATTTGACAGACTAGATGAAGACAACACAGTCAAAAACCTGTTAACCATGACAGGGTCTTAATCATGGGGCCTTGCCAGCAGGGGCCTCTTCCAGGTTTTCAGTTAAGTTCTCTTTCACTTCTCAACACCCAGAATATCTATTCAAGCAAGCCTCAGAAGACTTCTACTACCATAACTATTTCTTATGAAGAAAATAAGGAAAAAATAAAAGAATAAAGATTACTGATTGAGACTTTTGAAAGTCTGGCTTGAAAGTTCTGTGGTTAGTCTCAAGTAATGCCATTCAAATCTTCCCTCTCCCTCTTCTCTCAGTAAGGATAACTGAGGCTATTAAGATTGAACAGTAGTTTCTTTGCATTTATTTTTCTTTTGACCATGAAAAGTCTCATTGGGATGTTAGCATGAAGACCATGAAGTCACGAGTAACACAATGTACTGCATTGAAACCCCAGAGAATCAAAGATGGGGTTTGATAGAATCATCTTCTGGGCAAGTTAATTGCATTTAAAAAGAAAATGGAAACTTGACTTCAGAGATAAAAACATGTCTAAACATTGCACACTGCTGGTGGTCAGTAAACGTGGTCACTGAAAACTTCACAGAAGAGAGTGCCTCTGTAGTTTAGACACACTAAGAGGACAGAGTGAGCGGGTGGATAGAGTGTGTGACCAAGCTGTCTGTGCTTCGGACAAACTGTTTCCCAGCTGAGAATGGTTCAATTTTTGGTAGCATAGCAAGATCTTTCTATTAGATTTCTCAGTCATGTTGAAAATTCACTGTGGGATTCAATAGAAATAAGAAACTCTTATGAGTAAATAAATCAGACTGGGTGGTGCTTAGCCGAGCTTTGTCTGCACTCAGGACCACATGAACTATGGTCTTCTTCAATGTCAAGTCTTGGACACTGTTCCGTGAGCTTTCCAACTCCAATTGCCTTTCTTTACACTCAGTCCCCTCCACCCAAGCTATTTTCTGGCTCTCATCAGAGGGTTTGTTTTTTTGTTTGTTTGTTTTGTTTTCTTATATACAGACCACAACTTTCCACAGAAGGAAAAACCCCACAATCCCAAAGGAAAAATAAGAAACAAAGGGACCTGAGGTCAGATGACTGTGGGTGATGGAGTTGAAAAGCTGCAGGCTTGATTACTGAAATTGGCATTGTAAATGATAGATGTAAATAATAAGCAGGTCTGTGCATGTCAAGGACTCAGCATGCTCCTGACCCATGCAGAGATTCTCTCAGACATATGGAGAGGTGCTAACTTCCAATCTAAGAGTTTCAGCATCTTCTGATATCCTACATGGCAGAAATTTTCAAGCATAGGAGATTAGATCAAAGCTGCTTTGCTATAATAAAGCACTACCTTTGTAATGACATGTTCATTTCTTACTGTTTGGGTAAAATTCACATATAACATTTTCCATTTTTACATGAACAAGTCAGTGGGGCTTAGTGCATTCACAACGTTGTGCAAACCACTTCTACTTAGTTCAAAAACATTTTTATTCCTCCCGAATAAAGCTGGGTACCCATTAAGCTGTTATTCTCCAATCCTTTCTCCCTCCCGCCCCTGGCAACCAACAAGCTGCCTTCTGTCTCTCTGTTGATTTACCTTTACTGTATGTCGCATAAATGGAAATACATAGTGTGTAACTTTTTGTGTCTGGCTTCTTTTACTTAGCATAATGCTTTTGAGGTTCTTTTTCATTGTTGCATGTATCAATATTTAATTCTCTAAGTAATATTCCATTGCATGTATAAACCACAATTTTTCATTCATTGATGACCATTTGGGTTGTTTCTACCTTTGACTATTGCGAATAGTACTGCTATGAACATTCATGCATAAGTATTTGCTTGAGTACCAGTTCTCAATTATATTTGGGCATATACTTAGGAGTAGACTGCTGGTCATATGATAATTCTGTTTAACTTTATGAGAAATCATCAAACATTTTACATTCACATCTGCTGTGTATGAGGATCCCAGTTCCTACACATCCTCACCAACACTTGCTATTTCCCACTTTTTATAGTCATTCAAGTGAGTGTGGAATGGTAAGTCATTATAATTTTTATTAATGAAAAATAATGCTGAGCATCTTTTCATGTGTCTGTAAGCCATTTATATATCTTCTGTGGAAAAATAGTAGTCATATTCTTTGTTCATTTCTAAATTGTGTCATTTGTCTTTTTTGTCACTGAACTGGAAGTTTTTTATATATTCTGGATCCCAGACCATTATCAGATACATTATTTAAAAATATTTTCTCCCGCTCTGGCCGGTTTGCTCAGTGGATACAGCATCGGCCTGAGGACTGCAAGGTCCCGGGTTCGATTCCAGTCAAGGGCACATGCCCAGGTTGTGGGCTTGATTCCCAGTAGGGGGTGTGCAGGAGGCAGCTGATCAATGATTCTCTCTCATCACTGATGTTTCTATCTCTCCTTCTCCCTTCCTCTCTGAAATCAATAAAAATATATATGAAAAAGTAAATAAATAAAAAATATTTTCTCCCATTTTGTAGATTGTTTTTCACTTACATGATAATGTCCTTCAATGTGCAAAAACTTATTATTATTATTTTTTTAAACTTTTTATTATTTTGATGAAGTCCAATTTATCCGTTTTTTATTTGGATACTTTTAGTACCATATCTAAGAAACCATTGCCAAATCCAAGGTCATGAAGATTTACTAATATATTTTCAGTTAAGAGTTTTATAATACTTTGTTTCTTTATTGGTTTTCTGTCTAGATATTAACCCATTGTTAAATGTGAGACACTGAGGTCTCAAATTATTATTGTAGAATTCTTTCTCCTTTCAGTTCTGTTGATGTTTGCTCCATATATTTTGGGGCTGTTATTTGGTGCATATATGTTTATAATTATTGTATCTTCTTGAGTATTTGATCCTTTTATCAAAATATGATTACCTTTTTCATCTTTTATAAAAATTTTTGAAGTCCATTTTGACTGCTTAGTATAGCTACCCAGATTTCTTTTGTCTACTATTTACATTGTCTTTTTTCATCTTTTTTACCTTCAACCTATTTGTATTTTTTAATCTAAAGTGAGTCCCTTATAGACAGCACATAGTGGGTCATTTTAAAAACACATTCTGCCAATATCTTCCTTTTAATTGATGAGCTAACCTGTTTTTACTTGAATCCCAAAATTCATTTCAGGGACCCTATACTTTTATTTATTAATCCACTCCTTTATTATCAGCAAATAGTTATCAAGGTCTTATTAAGTTCCAGGTTCTATCTTAGGTGTTGTGGAAAACGTACAGTTGAACAAAATTTTGACCTTAACCTGGAAGAGTTCATCCACATTCTGAAAAGTGAGAAAGATATATAAGTAAATAATTATAATGCAGTGAACAATATATAAAAATATCGATGTGCACAAAATGTTTTGGAGGAAACAGTTAGATTGGAGTATCTGAAAAATTACACAGGAAATATTATACACAAGCATAAAAATACGAGTTTTTCAGATTAAGAATCAGGGCGTTACATTCCAGACTGAAGAGCATGTCTAAAAGCACAGTGGCATGAAAGTGCACAGTTGGTTTGGGCATAAAGACATAATGTGATGTGACTTAAAAGGATGTGAAACTAGGAATGGAAGATGGAAACCTAGACTGAAGTCGATAGTGACAGACCTTATATACCTTGTTGTAGCCTTGAATTTTGCCTTGTGTGGAATAGGAATCAAGAAGTTGGCCTATTTAGATTTATGTTTATAATGATTGCTGGTGGCAGTTGGGTGATGGGTCATATGGGAAGATAAGAAACTCATGAGACATAACTAAAATTCCAATAGAACAAGAAAATCCCCATGTAATATCCAAATATCCTGGTGATGGGCATAGACCAAATAGACCAATCAGATTATTTTGCCCAAATTTTTCAAATTATTGCTAGGAGAGAGAAGCCTCTTTCTTTTTTTTTTTTTTCCTAGAGAACAGCTTTGGGGATCATTTCTCTCTGGTTAAAAGATTCAATGAATGTGAGCTTGAAAGTGAGCAATCAAGTACCTGAAAGAATACATCCAAGAAATAGATATGAAGACAAGAGAGAAAAAGCAAGGAAGTTCTGAATGCATTTGAGTTCTAGTCTGAGACACCCCCAAAGTTAGCTTGACCCCATTTCTCACATAGTTTGATTTTGTGAGCTGTTATATTCTCATTTTCTGCTGAAGACTGTTCAAGTTGGGTTATTGTCACATGCACCTGAAAGTATTTATTAACACAGAGGTTCTTGTATTGTGTATATGAAAAGAATGAGGAGAATGAGCTTGCAGACTCATACAGTGATAACCAGATCAGATTCTGAAGTCAGCATTTTTACTCTTACTCTTGTAGCAAAGACAAATGACCAAAAGGCAGCTCTTCATGGCTAAAAGATTATGTGAGCCAAAGATGGGCTAGATTGCTTTAGTTGTGCACTAATATTTACAATTCTTTGGACTTTTAAAAATAATCCTGATCAGAAGCGCAGAGAACCCCAAACAAAAGGAATCCAAAGAGGACCACACCAAGACACATCATAATTAAAATGCCAAGAGCAAAAGACAAAGAGAGAATCTTAAAAGCAGCAAGAGAAAGAAACCCAGTTACCTACAAGGGAATACCTATACGACTGTCAGCTGATTTCTCAACAGAAACTTTGCAGGCCAGAAGGGAGTGGCAAGTAATATTCAAAGTGATGAATACCAAGAACCTACAACCAAGATTACTTTATCCAGCAAAGCTATCATTCAGAACGGAAGGTCAGATAAAGAGCTTCACAGATAAGGAAAAGCTAAAGGAGTTCATCACCACCAAACCAGTATTATATGAAATGCTGAAAGGTATCCTTTAAGAAGAGGAAGAAGAAAAAAAAAAGGTAAAGATACAAATTATGAACAACAAATATGCATCTATCAACAAGTGAATCTAAGAATCAAGTGAATAAATAATCTGGTGATCATAATAGAACCAGGGACATAGAAAGGGAATGGACTGACTATTCTTGGGGGGAAAAGGGGTGTGGGGGATGCGGGAAGAGACTGGACAAAAATCGTGCACCTATGGATGAGGACAGTGGGTGGGGAGTGAGGGCGGAGGGAGGGGCGGGAGCTGGGAGGAGGGGAGTTATGGGGGGAAAAAAGAGGAACAAATGTAATAATCTGAACAATAAAGATTTAATTAAAAAAAAAATAATAATCCTGATCAAGGAGAGTTTTTCCCCAAAGAAATGATAAAAGTTATATCTTAATGAAGTTCTGCTCCTACTTTTCCTGTGGTTTTTTTTCCCTAGTAAACATTCAGAGTAAAAAAATTCCTGTTATCTCCTAGAAGTACATGCTGTCCTCTTCCCATATCCCTTTAGTTTCATTCTTTAATCCCTGGGTAAAGGGCCTCAAACCATGTAAGAAAGAGAAAACAATCAGCCAAATAATTATTGGGCATTCCTGTGAGAAAGAATAAAGGGAAGAAATGATTCTACTACCTTCTCCTGCTTTGCATTTATGTACAAATCATTCAGCTGTGCTCAAATCCCTGCTACCTGGCATCTTTCCTATTGGAAGAGGTGACCTAAATTCAGTTTCAACTTCTGCACCGCTGAATATTGCTGCTAGTTTTAATAGAACTAAACTCTCATTGGACAGTGAGGTAACAGAGGCCAGAGAATCAAAAGTTATTTGCCCAAAATTATATAACTGTTGCCAGCAAGCCAGGACTAGAACCCAGGCCTCCTAATTCCCTCATCTGTGTTTTATTGCACCATACATCTCTGCCTCCATCCTGCATCAGGAAGACGTAGAGGGCAGGAAAGCTTTTCACTGGGGAGCGTCAGTAAAAAGTGAAAATCCTAAACTAAAAATATCTTTCATGTCATTTTTCTTCACGAGTTACTGACAGGGTCAAGAGGTGACAGTGAGGATTAAACAGAATTTTTTGCAGTTTCATGAGTTTTCCAGTGGAATGCCTTGATGAACAACAGCTGTTTCATCATCTGGGCATGTTGAGACTCCTCCCCCTCCCCCTCCCCCCCGTGCAATGTTTATTGCATGCCTGCAACATACAAGGGGATGCTGTGTTCTGCTGCCTCACAGCCTTCACTGGAGTTGAACTTACAATTTCTAATTATAAATATGGTGCCTGTGGGTGATACTCTGTTGGCAGAAACTTATAGCTAAAAACATGGGCCAGACTGTAGGGAAACGTTTGGAAACTTTGTTCTCCTCCTTCTCTTTTCTGCATCATGGAAGGCAAGACCACTGCCCTCCAGGAGGGAGCACGGCCTGTCTGATTGCTGTCAGAGAGGTTCTTGTCTCCTCGGCACCCCTCTGAGTTAAGTGCAGGAAGAGCACAGGAGTGGGGGTCAGGCAAGTCAGAGAAGTGTTTCAATCTCATCTGTGCTAGCATTTGACCTGGGATGAGTCACTCCAATTCCATGAGCCTCACTTTTGCCACCTATAAAATGGGAATGACAAAATGGATCATCTTTTGTGAAAATAAGATGAGATAGTATAAGTAAAATATATATCATATACTATGCGTAGAACATGGTGTGTGCCCAATAAGTGGTAATTTCGCTTTCACTTTCTTTTGTTTTGGCCTCCTGCCTTCCTGACCAATCTAAATGGAGAGCACCCCTGGGCTCTAAGTCTGTGATAGGAAGGGCTCACAGGGATGGCCTCAGGAGGGTGCTCTCACTCTAGTGGCCTGTGTGGTTTGAACTACCGGAGAGCAGTGACCTCCCCAGCATGGCTTGAGTCCTGAGACAGCTAGTTACTTCCTATTCCTCAGCTGCCATGATTTATCACCAAAAACGATGAAACCAACCTTTCCCTACCCAGATTTATTCTCATGTTTAGCCTAGCACAGTGTATTCAAGAATCACTTTTTATTTTACTTTGCTGAGCCAATCTGGGTAGAGATTAAATTTAACCCAAACTAAAAGAATTTATTGGCAAAGAATTCAAGGTGAAGTTATAGGTAGGATTGGATGGACTTCTAATTTATAGGTGACTAGAGGCCCAGTGCACAAATTTGTGCACGGGTGGGATCCAGCCGGCCCGCCCTGATTGGGGCCGATAGGGCCGGGTCGGAGGGGGAGGAATAAGAGTGGACATGGGATGTTGACTAGCTAGCCCCACCCCCAATCAGGGGGAAGGCAATCAGGGGCGGGGCCAGCTGGGGGTGAGCCAGCCCTGACCCCTGGTCGAACTCCTGGTTGAATTCCCAGTCGAGGGGATAATTTGCATATTGGTCCTTTTATTATATAGGATAGGGTGCTTCTCTGCATATGATTCTCTCCCTCCAGCTCTGGTGACTGTTTCCTTCTCTTACCCCTTCCGGCTTAGGATGCCAAAGGCCTGACTTTAATAGCTCTGGAATACTAAACCATCCTTTATGGTTTTTCTGCATCCTGCCCCAACCAATGGAACTAGCCCCAATATTAAGCCATGCACAAAATGTCCTTTGGTAGAGTGCCATCTTTTCCCTGCTGGGACTCTGACTGAGGAAGCCCCTCTTCACAGGGACTTAGTGACTACTGGGAGGGGATGGACAACAAACATATCATTACAAATTATGAGAAGATCCATGAAGGGACCAAAATGGATGGTGTGAAAGAGAATAAGAGACTGGGATCTAATTCAGATAGGATGGAGATGGCCTTTTAACTAAGTCCTGGAGAATGAGAAGGAGACAGAAGTGAATTTGAGGCAAAGAGATTTCATGTATTCTCTTTTCATTCGGTTTGCACAACGACCTGTTGAGGGGGAAATATTGTTATTTAGGGGAAAGTGCACTCAATTAGAAATAGGAGACCTAGGTTCTTAGTCTCAGGTTTCCACATTTCCAAATGGGCAAACTGCCGGGGTCCAACCCCAGCAGGTCCAGGGGTCCCCAAAGGTGTGGATGGAGTCGGCGAAGAAGGAATGACACAGAGACAGCGTTCAGTTGATCAGCAGGCTAGCCAGGATCTCCAGCCAAGTTCTGGTCTGGATCTCCAGAGAGGTTCTGCTTAGGATCTCCAGCTAGGTTCTGTGTCCATGTTCTCTTGCTAGGTTCTCCAGGTTCTCCAGCCAGGTTCTGTAGCCATGTTCCCTCGCTAGGTTCTCCAGCCAGGTTCAGTCACCAGGTTCTAGTCAGGTTCTCTTGCCAATTTCTGTAGTCAGGTTCAGTCCAGGATCTTTTGCCATGTTCTCTCCAGCGAAGTTCTTCTGTCTCTAGAGAACGTTCTGTGTAGGTTCTGTGCCTAGGTTCTGTCTTTCTTGGTTCTGTCTTCTTAGTTCTGTGTTCTAAGCTCTGTATTCTAAGTTCTGTGTTCTAAGTTCTGTGTTCTAAGTTCTGTCTCTTGCTGTCTTATTACATCTGTATTTATACCAGTTGATTCAATCCTATCAATCTCTATTACAAAGGTTAGGGCGTTTCTTATCTTCATTCCAGGGAGTAAAGATTATGTAGCTTAAGCACGATTGTTCGTAGTTAAAGTGATTAATTACCCGCCTGGCACTTAGTTAAGAGGTTTTATTCCCTCCCTAACTTCAGGGGAAAATCCCTACCTGGGGAAACAACCTTTCTCAGAGAGGAGACCTTGGTTAAAACACATAGTGCCAAGAAGGTGAGCAAACATATTAAGAACAGTATGCCATATGTGCCAGGTCCCTTGAAACAGCAAGCATGGACCGGCTCCCGGCAGCAAACCAAGGCTCAGACAGTTAAATGACTATGTCATACCCTGTGGCAAAGCTAGGATTAGAAGCCCACTCTCTTTCACCAGAGTACGCTAATTCCTCAGCCTGGAAATAGGTCAAGATCTTGGTGAGCATCTTAGAACAGTTAAGGGGATTGGCTAGAATGGGTATTTATAATAGTCTTGACTCCTCCACAGATTATATATGTAGATTTATTTAATCAGAAACCCTAAAGAAGTTATGGGTTGTTCTTAGTAATTTTCCTTTTACCTCATTTGATTTCCAACTGTTTATTTCCTAAGGAAAGAATAATCCATGAACTGTTGGACCTTAACGTGCCAAACATAGGCCACACTTCCCTGTATTGTACTGTTTGTGTAATTCCTGACATTGGCACCAGCCTCCATCCAGATGAGGCGGCTTCTTTATGTCCTCTCTGGAAATTTCCTCTGGTGCTCCGGCTGTGCAGGTTTGGCTATGTTGGTTCACAGACAGGAACTCTGGCTGAGGTCACCATTGCACTTTCTGTTGTGTGTGTTTTTTAAAGCTTTGAAGGCTATCCAGCTATCTTTCCAGAGAAAACTCCCACCTCTGCTCCTTCTTTCCTCCTCATTGCAGATCCACACTGAAATTTGAGCCTTCCAGGGTATCCATCCAATGCCATTCAAAACAACAGATAGATGAAATTTAAACCAGGTAGCTGAGACCACTTATTTTCTATCAGTACACATTACTCCAGTCCTCAGATTAATGCCAAACTTTAGCTTATCCTACTTTTAATAGTACATCTACGATGAGCTAGTCTACAATGCCTAAAAACGTTATATATTTAGGATGACCTTCACATATTTTATCGTTGTGATCATTGTTTTCATTTCATATCTTCCCCACAAATTTATCCTTTTTCTTACTGTATTTTTGTATTACTATTCTCCTTTCCGACCACTTTCTTCCCAAAGTTGAAAAAAAGTCATTTTTTTTTTTCATCCCCGTAGTGAGTGTCAGTTGTTTCCTTTGCTAAAGATCCCTTTTTCCTTTTCTAGGTAACTGCTTCCTCCAGGGTATCTGCTTCTACCTCCCTCAAAAATTATGTGATTCTGGGGGAGCTGCCATTCTCTCTCTCTCTCTCTCTCTCTCTCTCTCTCTCTCTCTCTCTCGTTTACACACACACACACACACACACACACACACACACACACACACACCACCTGCCACATGGTTGGGCAACTGACCAGGGCCAGACCAGGCATCGCCCGATTTAGCAATATGTGATAGGTCAGCCAGAATTTCTCACTGTGATTTATACGTGTTGCAGCAGCGGGGAGAGTGCACCTCTTCCTCTGATCACTGAGCTGAGAAGACCTTCCTTAAGCCAAGGGCCTGGAACAATGAAGTATTTGAACTACCTGGGCCATGTCGCATGGAGAAAATCGATCCGCCATAGGAGAGAAGAGCACCACCAGACAAAAGGAAGCACGGACACATCCAGCTGTCCCGAGGCCAGTCCTACCCGATGTTTCTAGTTGCATGTACCAATGAATGCTCTGTTCCTTTAAGTCAGTGGTTCTCAACCTTCTGGCCCTTTAAATACAGTTCCTCATGTTGTGACCCAACCATAAAATTATTTTCGTTGCTACTTCATAACTGTAATGTTGCTACTGTTATGAATCATAATGTAAATATCTGATATGCAGGATGGTCTTAGGCGACCCCTGTGAAAGGGTCGTTCGACCGCCAAAGGGGTCGTGACCCACAGGTTGAGAACCGCAGCTTTAAGTCAATTTTAGTTGGGTTTTTGTTACTTAACAAGTTCCCAACTACAATCCTCTTCTCTGATTCCTTCTTGTTTTCTCATATTATATCTAGAGTCTTTCCTAGAAGATTTATTCTTTACATGTAATTCTAAACCCTAAATCATTTTTAACCAACTAATAATCCCCCAAATCTATAATGGGGAGAATAGAACTGCCTATTTCTGGAACATCAACACCCCGAAGATATATCCCTTCCCAAGACTGAAATGGGCCTTCCTGGAAGACACAGCCTCTGACTTCATCCTATACGTTCTGGTCTGCAGCCCATATTAAATACTAAGAAGCATTACAATAATTTATGTGCAGCCCTAGCTGTCTTAACTGAAGTCCTCTGGAGCCATTAGAATTCTGGAACAGCTCCAGGTGCAAAAATGCCTGAGAAACTTGAACAAAACAGAACAAAAAGCCCTTGGCAGTAGGGAAGCAATTTCTGAAAACATCAAATGGGGGAGCCATAGAATGCTGAGGAATTAAATTCCTCTCATAGCTATAAAATGGAAGGAAAAACAAAAACTCTCATTAATGGCTACATCTATATATCTCATTATCCAAGACAAATGAATAAAATGACAGAAAATATCAGAGGCTGGGAAGACAGCAAGTAGCAAAAAGGGAGAGACTAATGTGAACCAATGTGGTGGTGGTGG